GTATATATTTTGGTCATTTTACCTTCCGTTATATTCTCTTTATCTGATTGATCCCTCACATATCCCCATATATTTTTTAGTTTTTGTTTTCATTTTTTGTGTATGAATGTCCTGTCTGCAATATGTAATGGCACCACGTGTGTACAAAGCCTATGAACAAAAAGAGGGTATAAGATCCCTTGGAACTGGAGTTACAGATGACTGAGTATTAGATGGACAGGGTTTCTGGGAAGGAAACCATGGGAAGGAAGCCATTCTAAGTAGTTATATTCAACTCTAACTGCAGTGCGAAGAGCAGCCTGACAGCAGAAAGAACCATTGTGAAGGAGTGGAGCTCCAGTGTGCTGAAGCACACTGACAAATCACAAATTCCCTTCCTCTTTCATGATTCTTTTCCCACTGCTTGTCAGTGATAGTTAATTTCCATTGTCAACCTCCTCAGGACCTGGAATCACCTAGGAAAGAGTGTCTCAATGGGAGGGATTAGGTGGCCTGTGGGCATGCCTGTAAGGAATTTTCTAAATTAGGTTATTTGGGGTGGGAAAATTCATCCTAAATGTGGGCTGCATCTTCTCATGGGCTGTGTCCTGCTTTGAGTGAAAAGGAGAGAGGGAGTTGAGCATGTGTCACCACTCTCTGCTTTACACTGTGGATGCAATGTGACCAGCTTCCTCCCTAAGTTCCTGCTATGACTTCTCCACCATGATGAACTATAACCTTGAAATATGTGTGGAACCCCCCCCCAACTTCCTTCTGTCAAAGTATTTTATCACAGTAACAGGAAAAGAAACTCACTCAGCTGTGGTCCTACCCTAGTGCCTAGAAACTTGTTCAAATACCTCTATCTAGACAAAAGGAAGATTACTGGGCTTCTCTGATGTTCACTGCTTTTCTATTCGTTTCCTTGAGCTAAATTTCTTCAAAGATTGTGGACAGTGACTCTTAGGATCCTCTTTTGTACCGCTTATTCCCTTGGCAACCCATTTCGGCATGGTTTAGCCTCCCCTATCACAACAAACCAGTCTTCTGGAGTATTTCCAGACACAGGCACTCACCGTCCCTACTGCTTTCCCTCTGTAACCTGCTTGTGCCTCTGCTGTAGTAAGCCACAGAGCTGGAACTCTCCTCCTGCTCCACAGCCCCGCCTTTTACTCTTCGCCAGTCCACAATGGAATCTGTCTTCCAAGTTCTGATTCCACGTTTTCTAAAATTTCTCTTCTTTAGTCACTTCTTACATTTCCATGACTTCCATTACTGTCTATGCTGATGACCCCTCCAAATCTGTTTCTGGCTCTGACCTCTCAACTCCCATTTTTCATCTGTTTGCTGGATCTTTTCACACTAATCCCCTTGTGACAGCTCTCTCAGTGGATTTAAAATTCATTTTGTTGCTTATTCCTTCAAATGACGTTTCTACTCTGGCTCAAAATCTGAGTCATCTTTAGCTCTCCACTCTTTCTCAGTTGGTTGCAATACAACTTAGTGTGGAAACGTTTCTTCTTTCTGGCCTATAAACTAGGAAATTGTGACACAACTTACTAACTCCAGGGAAATACTACATAGATTTCTGGTACTTTATTAAAGCCCCTTACTTTTTGCGCATTTCTGCTGGTGGGATGTGTGTGTACAGGCATGTGGAGGTTAAAGGGCAATCTTGGGTGCTGTTTCACAGCTGCTGTCTACCTAGCAGTGGGAAAGTATCCCTCACTGGCCTAGAACTAGATATATGGGATGGCCTGGCTGGCTAGCAATCCTGGGGGACAGCCTGTCTCTGCCTCTGCAACACTAGGAATACAAGCATGCAGGCTCACCATTAGCGGATTGACCGCTAATCCTCATGACTGCAAGGTAAGCACTTTCTTGACTGAACTATTTCCCTAGGTTCCTTACATTTAACTCTAGGAGGTAGTTAGTAATGAGGAAAACTGGGGAGGGTTTGTGTTCATTGGAGGAACTATTCATTGCTGTGGCATACTTGAACCAATTAAAGGAAAGATTTGTCTTGGGTTTGTGGTTTCAAAGGTTTTGATCTATCATAGTATGGCAGGGTAGACTAGCCAGTAAGGAGGAAGGGAAGGAGAGTCTGAGGGAGGGAAGATATAGGCTGATGCTGCCCATATTCAGGGTAAGTCTGCCCCCTTAGTTAATCCTCTCTGGAGATGCTATCAGACAAATATAGAGTTGTGCTTTGTTAATTCTCCAGGCACTTTTCAGTCCAAGCAGAGTGGTAATCTTGATGGTTAATCAAAATTAACCACCACAGCCTACTAGTCACCAATGGGCAGAGAAGAACAGAGCTCTCTTCTCACACAAGCCCATCTCATGGACTGGACAGGCTCTGATCTCTATGCAAGAATTTATATAGGCTGTTTTTTGCTGCTCTAGTAGGGATATCCTCAGACTGGGAGGGCACACTGAGCTAGGGGAATAGGGATAAGAGTTTTCATTTTGGTCTCAAGTCTAAACAATGTTCTTTAAGACTTCACCCTGAATAAAGTTAATATTTACTTTCTTTTTGGATCCCCATGTCTTCCTACTTTGGTTGAGAATCCAGAGATAAGAAGGGTGATGTGATGGATCACCTACATACTGGATCTAAAACTCACTTTTCTCTGATTCCTTTTTCTTTTCTTCCCTAAGATGGCAATGCTAACTCACTGGCATAGAAAAGCATGTGGTAGTGTAAACCTATAATCCCAGCACTTGGGAGGTAGAGGCAGGTGGAACTCTGTGAGATCAAAGCCAGCCTGGTCTACATCGTGAGTTTTAGGCCAACTGGGGCTACAGGGAAACTCTGTCTCAAAAAAGACCCCCCCCAAAAAAACCAATACATTACAATATTTTTCTATTGTGAGTTTTCATTTCTTGGCATGAGAGGTTTGGGTCATGAGTTATCTTATTCCACCCCTGCCTTCAAATTTTAATTTTATAACTTTTATATAACACCAATTATTCTTTTTAAAATGAAAACCCAGGAGGAAGAAAAGATATGAATTCTACTAAATTAATTTCCCCAAAGGACTGGTTGATTTAAGATATATTGAACTGCAAGATGCAATTGGTATCACACAAACACACTGAAAGAAACCATTAATAGCATGCATTATTTGGAAAAGCAAATGGTAAATTAGCAATAAACTGTAAACCAATGGATCAAATGCTAAATTCATTTAAAGATTTGGTTTGGTTATTGTTAAGCGTCCTTCTGATAAGCGAGCTAAAGAGCAGAAATAAATACATCTAAATAGAAATATTTATAAATCCTATTTCATCATGGTTAAACATTTGCCTGACAAGGGAGATAAATGATGCTCTTCTGTGTACCTGAAACTGAAAAATGGCTGAAGCAGAACGCAGCATGATAACAGTACCGTTCAAGTAATAGTTCAGAGAACCATAATTATTATTTACTTGCTTTTGCTGTTAAAAATGCAGGTTGTGGCAAATTGATCACTATGCTGTGTTTGTAGTCTTAGATCTGTTTCTGTTCAAAGATATTTAAGTCATTTTAGCTTACAAGGTTTGGTCAGTGAGAAACATCAGGCTGACCTTTTTAAATTCTATTAGTTATTTCTACACATTGTATGCAAAAAGGTTACTTCAGGATGGTTTTAAATAACTACTATGTCCTGTTGAGTCCATACAGAGAAGTCTTCCTTTCCTTTCCATTGCAGGCTCTCAGGATTCTCTTCAATAATCCCTGCATACTGAATTCGGGAATAGGTTTTCTTACTGCAGTGGGCTGCAGTATTAGGAAACCTTCAGCTATGAGCACATGATGCAGGGCTTCCAGACAGCTCTTTTCAGTGCCAGGGGCCCTTGAAGTCAGTGCACCCTGCACTCTGACATTCAAGAGTCCCAGGTTACCCAGTGTCTGAAGTCAAGGTCTCCATCTCTTTAGCACTAAACAAATGAATGAGTAACATGTAATAGAGCAATCTAGATATTTGCTTTAGGAAACCAGCATGCAAATAAGAAAACATATCCGCTGTTTTCCATGCTTATGAATTTGGCATTGACGAGTGTGCTTTAGGGCTAGGCAATACCTTTTAGAGTTTCTTGTAATGCCTTACCTTGTATCACCCACCTTAAGAATATCTAATGATTAAGCTTTTATGCAGAACTGCAGTTGGTTTTAGAGAACAATATACATTTTGAGATCTCTACAAACAAGTATTCCTATCAGTTCTTCGACTGACTTTCAGAATTTTACAAATTATTGTTTATTTTAAAAAATTTCTTGTTACTAGAAATTCCACAAATGTGATATATTACTTGTCACTATACTTAGTTTTCCTATGTGAGTAAATGAACCAAACCTATTACCCAGTCCCACACAGGGAAAGCCAGCATGCCTTGGGGGCAGGAGGACACTGCACTGCGCTTGTCCCTGAAACATGCTGCAGGCTGCCTGCTGCAGCAGCGGCTTCCTCGCCAGGTGGCAGAGGCTCTCCGCAGAAGGACACACTGCAGCGCTCACACTTGGCCTACTTCCTGGGCAGGATACCAACGACCACCGCTAAATGCCCCCGCAAATAACTACAATATAGTTTTTGCTGATTATGGGGATTGGGTTGCGGAAAAAGAAGAGCGAGGTGAGTGTGCGCCCAAGTGTGACAGATCACTGTTGTCTAATAGTGCCTAGCCGCACCCCCCCCCTTTTTTTTTTACAAGTCAACAGCCAACTTCCTTTATCTGTTAGATCCCAAAATCTGAAATAGCTTCTCCCTACAATGAAGGCACTACAACGAATCAGGGTTTTAAGGTAAACTCAAGGAATCAAGAAGGTAAAAGTGCTCCTTTCTGGCCTGAGCTTTAGCACCAAGTTTGGGACGTGCAAGTCTGCACACACTTATCTTCACCTCCCCAAAGCCCTTGGATTAGAGGGTCTTGGAGATGGGGGCATCTCATTCCCGGAGGGTCCTTTCTCCCAGAGAAGGCCCTTCCGGGTGCTCGCTCTTTAGTGTGTGAGGGACCCCCCCACAAACCAAATAGCTCACCCGGCTGCATCCTCCAAGCCCCAGCTTCGGGGCGGGGCGGAGGGAGGCGGGAGCCGGGGCAGCGCCTCTTCAGGCTCCCCCAGAGCCTCAGGATCCCCCCCGGCTCCTTGGCGCCCCCTGACGTCGGCCTCCCTGCAATCGGTCAAAGGAGGCTGGACAGCTGGAAGCCTGGGGTCCGGGCGCGGATGCTCAGGCCGGGCTTCAGCCCGCGGTCGCCGCAGCCATGTCCGCGCGCCCGCGCTGCCGCAGCCCGCCGTGATGTCATCGGCCGAGCCCCCG